GAACTTGAAAGAATTTTTTCACCAGTATTATTTGATTCAATGGAGCATTTAATTGTATACATTCCATATGAGGCCATAGTTAGCGGACCTGTTCAATACAGATGGATGTATCAATTTGAAAGGTAATGTGTTAAATGGTTTTAATCCAATTTTTTTGGTATATTCGTGACATAATTGTAAAGAATAATGCCATTTAATGTTTTGGTTTATATATTTTAAGGTGTATGAGAGAATTTAAAAGATTTGTAAAGAATAAAATACGAGTTGAGGATTCTATATGTGCAGTATACTTGGCTTGTGATACTTTGCATTTCATTTTATATTATTTTGAGGCTGGTGTGTTATCCTTTATAACGAGACTATCTTGAAATGATGATGGTGGTGTGAGCAGTGGTCTCCCAACGCTCTCAATTTTTAATCAGCCTGGTCGTAGTTTTGAAGCTTGTGCATATATATATATATATATATATCTGTCAGAACAAGAGATGTATTTTACAACTTTGCACGTTCTTCTAAATTACAATGAAATACAACCATTCATTGAGTAAGTTATTTTAATATTATTTGAGTTATTTTTATTTTTTTATAGATTGGTATGTGATGTAGTGTTGTTTTTGTTTGATTTGTAGTTTTTCTTAAAAATTTTAATGACATAAGTTAAGAAGATGCCGGAACACGGATTCAAAATGAATTTTCCACCTGTTTTAAGAATTACGTAAGTATATCATTTACATGTGAAGTAATGATATTATTTTATGCAGTTAATTTTTTCAATATCTTATAAATAGGTGTACGATACTGCCAATGGTGTCAAAATCCGCACTTAAGTGATTTAATATTGGGACCAAATTTAAGTGTGAAATCGTACCACAAGTATTTTGTGAATGGTTATAAGTTCCACACAGATGAATACTCCCGAGGAAGGAAAACTGTTAATAGTGGTGTATGTGTAAAAGGTATTAGTAGCGTGAGAGAAATTGAATATTATAGTGTCCTTAGGGAAGTTATAGAATTAGAATATCTACATGAACCTATAAAAAGGGTTGTTTTGTTTTTGTATAAATGGTTTGATCCAAGAAGATCTCATGATACAAGAGTTCATTCCTTTTATAACATTGTTGAGATTAATTGTAGTAGGGAATATAATCAATATAATCTATTCATCATTGCTCAAAATGTTAGACAAGTTTATTATATTCTTTATACAGTTATTCGAATGAACAAGGCCCATTGGTGGGTAGTTATGAAAACAAAACCAACTGGGCGAGTAGAAATAAAAAATGTAAGTGTTGAAGAAATTTATAAAGAAAGGTCCATGTCTTATGTAATGCCTATAATTGATGCCGATCCATTAGATAGATTGCATCATGAAGCAGGATTATATGACGAGATTGATCCAGGATAGGTGGATCGAGAACGACTGACAGAAGATGATTAATACAAAGATGAAGATGAGAATGAAGAATTTATTGAATATAATGACGACACTGAACTATCAGGAGATTATGAGGAAGAAGAAGAGGAGGATGAAGAGGTGCCAGAGGAGGACGATCAAAGTTGTTTAGATTGAATTGTTCTATTTTTTGTTTTGTATGTTTTACGACAGTGAATTTTCTGCTATCTTTTTGAGCAATTAATATGTTTTTATTTGATTGTATAATAATTTTAGTTATTTTCTTAATTTTGGAACAAGAGAGGTTATTAAAAAATAAATTACATGTAAATTTTAAAAAATTAATTATATATTAATTTAAAATAAGTTAAGTAATAATTTAGTCTATCTTATGTAATTTTAAAAAAATTACATATATTTATCAATATAGATGAATTCCGAGCGTAGACCCGATAAGGGTAAGGGGATAGATACTGGCTGCTCGAAGAAACAGCGTTATCCTCCTGTACACTACCCCTCAGGACCCTTGCCACCAGTTATTATCAGGGAGCTCATTGATACTACCCGTGCCTATTATGATTACGGGGCTCCACATTCTCAGTACATGTTGTGATTGACTCAGTTCATACCTACTTCTGGATACATTTTTATTCCATCAACTGTTGGAGGACTTGCTTCATCAGCGTTTGCCTGCAGTGCGACTGCCTTTACTGATAGTGCTTCTCCTTCAGTTCCGTACCAGATTTTTCTCTGTCCGACTCTGCTCGAGTCAGATCATTTACCATTTATTCTAGCAGTTCTGGGAAGACGCTGATTAGGCCTGTTGGCGACATCGGGTAAGTATTAAATATTTATTATTCAAAAATTTTGATAAATATTTCTTAATGCATCAATTATTAGTATTGTTTTTTTTTTAATTTTTTGCTGTTGTAGATTTTATCCTTCGACGATTGCTGCTCATGCTACCATAGTAGTCATTCGATCGAAGTTCACATCATGTTATCCCACATGGAAGACAGTTCCTCGTGATTTGTGGTTTGATGAGTTCCGGGTTCGTATTTCAATGTAGTCATGGTTAAATATTTTTTTATCTGTAATATTAATTGACATTTTTATTAACTATTTATTTCTGTTTTATGCAAAAATATTGTACATGGGATCCACGAGACGAGCTAGCTATTAGATAGATATTTAGTACTCGTGGATCTCATAGACTTTCTGATATACTTCGGGATGCTTGGATCAGAGGCAGACCGGACTGGATCTCGCCTTCTATGTGGGAGAAGCTTCAGACTTATTGGAGATGAGGGAGGTTTACTAAGATAAGCTCTCAGAATAAAAGGAACCGCTATTCGGAAAAAGACGGTTCTCTCCACACATGAGCCTCTATTCCTCCACATGAGCATGCTATGAGGATGGTAAGTTTTATTCCTTCACATAAGTTTTATTATTATCTGATAGTTATAAATAATTACAAATTTTTTATTTTGTATTGCAAGAAAAAGAGACTGAGAGGACTCCCCAGTTTTTTGAGGTTTTTAAGTATACTCGTGTTAAGAAGAAAGATGGTAAGGAGGTGTGGGTGGACCAGCGATCGGAGAAGACTTATGTAAGTAATTGTATTTAATTTTTAGTAAATAATTATATTATTTATTAACATTTTATAATTAACATTTTTAATTATTAAACTTATTTTATGATATACTTATGTATGTGGGCTAACTTTCAAGCTGCTTGATCTTCCCAGTCGACACTTGAGGAGATATCTACTCTAGAGTCTCAGCGAATGGCAAACACTAAGCTGTGGGAGAGGTGCGCTAGAGGAAGAGCCTTCGGCTGTGTATACGGTCTTGGACAGTAGAGTTTTTTTCAGTCAGTTCACTATTCTCCATCCGATAGTACAGATCGGTCTGTGAGATCGGAGATGCCGAATCTCTGTCAAGAGAATAAGGAGTTTCAGGAAAAAGTTGGGAGTATGGAACTTATCCTTCATAATCTGTATAAGATGATTTAAGGGATAAGGGGCATACCATCTGGTCAGCCATGCCCTCTGGCGCCTACTCACGATTCTGACGCTTCTTCATCTCAGTTGCGCAATGGCAGCTATTGAGAATGATTTTTAGTTTTTTGAAATATTATTTCATATGTTTAGTGACATTATTTTATGTTTGTAACGAGACATTTAAATATTATTTATGCATATGTTATTTCAATTTTATGTAAGTGCGTATTTTAAATAAATTATCATAAAATATATATTTCAAAAATATGTAAAATTAATAATCAATAAATAATACATAACTAAATACTAAAAATTAAATAATAAAAATTGAATAATAATTATTAATTTAATTTTGTGTGTATATTTAATAAAATAAAAAATATTATATATTAGTATTAATTTAATAATTAATAATAAATAATTGAATAAAACAAAATAAAAAATTTATTTTATTTCCGACGCAAATATGCGTCGGAACTTTCCGACACATATTTGCGTTCGAAAGTTCCGATGCATCATGCGTTGGAAAGTTCCGACGCATAGTTTGTGTTGGAAAATTCTAACGCAAGTTGCCTCAGAACTTTCTGATGCAAATATGCATCGGAAAATTTCCATGTCGGTAACTTCTGACAAAGAATCTACATCGGAAAATTTTGACACATTTTACGACGCAATTTGTGTCAGAAATTTCTGACGCACACATTTTTGCATCAGTAAAATTTTCCGATTGCCTATTTTCCGACGGAAGTTTTTGCGTTAGTAACTTTATTTCCGATGCAAATTCCTCCCTTACCGACACTTTTTTTGCGTCAGTAATTACGCATTTTTTTGTAGTGAGTCCTTCACCTTTTAGGACATATTGGATTATAAAAAGGATGTTCGGGGTCTCTTCCAAGGCATTTTAAATTTATTCAACATTTAATTAAAAAATTCTTGAGAGTATTGAAATCCTTCCAACATTTGAAAAATTTTACTTTTGACAAGAATTAATTATTCAACAATCAATTCCAACTATTCTAAGGTGAATAGTTTAAGATTTTCTAATGATCTGAGATTATTTGGTGTAAGGAAAGGCAGGTTGATTCTTGTTACGGTTAAATAAGTTTTTTTTTACAAGTTATGAAACATATTTGGCATTTAAATTTATTTATAAGTCAGTTTTTTCCTATTAGTTATTATTAATTTGATTTGAATTTTCATTATTAATATTTTTTTTCCAATTGTTCACATTCTAGACAATTATTAACACAACTTATTCTCACACAATATAGAGGACACTAGCATAATTCCTCAAATCCACCTGACTTTGGCATTTCTAAACATGTATAACCTCCTAGCCATGATTCCACATAAATGACATTCAAGAAACACCAATCGCATTAGCACACCAATAACTTACACTAACTTTCACAAGGAAAACAATAAAGAGACATACAAATGCAAAGGCACAAGAATGCTTTTTTTTAAAAAAAAAAGAATATCAAAAAGTCTATGTATTAAAGAATATTAGAAAGTCTATTTATTGATTCTAACATAAATATCTCATTATAAATCACATCCAAACACTTCTTTATTAAAGTATGTTATAACAACATTAACTAATTTTTAGATGGAGATGCTATTAGGGACTCCCTTTGCAGTCACTCCAGGTTGTGAAAATGGTTTCAGGAGTTCATATGGCACCACCCCTGCTCCACTCCTATTCTTCAAATTTTTGTTTTTATTCCTAGTATCTATTATCCCTACAATTTCCCTCAGCTTCCCATTAAATAGTTCAAAACATTCCCTTATCTTTGGATTTTCTGCCCACGATGATTCCATCTCCTGCCCAAGATACTCCTCATCTATGGAATGATTGGACAATAGGTAGAGAATGGCCATAACTTTTGTAGCTTGGATTTGTGAAGGAAAGCATAACAAGACTTCCTCTTCTGGCTTGTTCAAGAAATGATTCCATTCTTCGTCTGTCTGGTCTTCAGTGGGGATTTTCCTTCTAGCAATGGTTGGTCTATTAGGAAAATAGCCTCCAAAAGCATACTGACCAAAGTTGACGGCGGCATGGTGACAAGATGCAACCCATATAATGGTTGTAAGTATGCCAATTAGATCATCTGAAGTATTTAGCACTGGCCACCATGGAGCATCTTTCTTGTCTGCATGACCTACTGTTCGAATTTCTGTCCACCATGCTTGAAGCTCTTCATCAGATTTTACAAGGCCTTCATCGGGTAATAGTGTTTGACATATTCTGTAACCCACTGCCAAATGGCATCCCAGACGAGAAGACCATCATTTGCAAAAGGATAGTCTTCAATTGTTAGTTTCAGGCCATGTGGCGCGGTTGAATCCTCCACAGCCATTCCCCTAGAAAATATAGAAATTTATTAGTTGAAGAAAGAAGACAAACATAATATATAACTATGTAAGACAGACATAATATATAAATATGTTTATTTTTTCTATAACTAGATCTAATTGGGTCTTTTGAAGTTAATAATGAGTGAGATTAAACTGTTTTGACTCTTCTTGAGGACAGGAATGTTACCTGCTAATCAAATCTGCCGGTAGTGCCTGCAAATCGAATTGCCATTGCTGTTCATAAGCAACAGAGCTAAGTTCCATGGAATACTTGGCAGGTGAGAAAGATGACTCGATGATCCCATCAGCATTGATGAGAGCTTCTCGAGCCAAAGCATTGATCTCCATTGTGTATCGGAAATGAGGGTGCAATAGTCTGTATACAGGGTGCATAGCGCTAAGTTGCGGTTAGTCGCAATTATATAAGGCTCTGTGGCGCAATGAGTTCTTAGCCTGCAGCATCCCACGCCCATGACAATAACCAAGTGAATTAGTACGAACAATTAGAATAATTTTTGTACTTTGAATGTTGGATAGTAAATTAATGATAGTTAAATTTTACCAGTGACTAATAAGCTCGTGATGGCCAGAGTCGTGAGCAAGGACATGAGTCTTGGCTAGCCTCCAAAGCCAGCAGGCCGTAGCATCACAAGAGGAAGGAGTGAAAACTTGCCTCCACAGAGGCTTACCGTCCAGTGGAGGCCGAGTAAGTTCAATGGCTAATGGCATCAAGGTCCCATCTGGGGTTAGGAAGAACAATGTTCTTGATCCGTAAAGTGTCGTTCCTTTAATATCCCTTACCCTCTTCACGTAGGGAAGAAGTAGGTCATGGTAATCCAGCATAAATAGCTTCTTTTTTTGCAAGGCCTACAAGTGCCAAATTCAATTTAATTAGCCTTCTCGGCAATAAAAGTAGATACATGGGGATTATTTTAAGTAATTAGTTTAATTAATACAAAGGGATCTTATGCATGAATTACCTCTTCAAGGGTCATGAAGCCCTTTATCTGTTGCTCAACCACCTCTGTGGTGATTGATGATTCGGGTGCACCATCTATCTCCGGATTTAATTTACTCATCAATGGCCATTCCTACATTTTGTATGCAAGTTCATTGAGGCAGAAAGATCAATCAAGTTACAGTCTAGCTCTGTAAGCTACACAGCAAGTTCTTGGATAATCAGGTGAAAACGAGATGCTTGTATGTATAACTTACACATACGGACAACTATGCAATAATTCAGAGATAATAAACTAAAAAGCATATAAGTTAATCTTACCTTGACCAACTGTATGCTGTACGGATTCACACCAGCAAGAGTCTGTCGGGCAAACTCCTCGTCTCTAAACCAAGAAAATCTATCTCCTGCATTATAGTGGTCAAGAATTCAAGGCCATAGGAGAGATTAAGAAGAAAAAGGAGAGATAGAGGATGATGATATGTAGTGCGCTAATTTATAGTAATAGTTTGATTAACATTTACTTACTTTCAAACATCTTTGGGGTTTCAAATCGTATCACCTCTTCTTGAGTATCGGCAATAGACTTGAGTATCCTAGGGAAAAGATCCTTCAAAAACCCATTTTTGGACAGGGGAGGAACGTGAATCCCTTCATTGAACAAGGATTCTATGTCTGTGAAGGTTGCAAAGCCGAGATCGGGGTCTACAAATATTGTATCCAACGACTGAAACAATGCGTGCGCAACCTGGTCAGCGGTCGTGGCTGTGAACGTAAGCAACTTCACCTCTGAGAAGGCCTCGTCTCTGGGCACGTAAACAATCGCAGTCCTTGACTCTGACAATGGATCTGCATTTGCATGGCAATTAATTAAAAATCCAAGTGTTCTCCAATTCCACATTTACGAATAAAAAAAAAAATGAGTACATTTTTCAAGATTAGTTGAGCATGCTTTGGTTAAATAAAGAAAAATAAATTTATTTGCTTCGTACCAGTCTTGCAATGTGGTCGGCCAGTTCTACAACGTCTAGGGTAAGGATGTTGTTTCCCACCAAGGACAGGGCGCTTTAGTTCAGGTTTAGAGTCGGGATTTCCAAGGTCATTGTAAACATCGTAATCATAAATCCGGTCATTTGTCTTGCGTTCGCCTTGTCCATTTCCTCTTAGATTTTCTAGTTCTTTCTTCCTCAGCCCCGTCAACCCACCTGGAGTTTGACATGGCAGGTATGACTGCTCGCGCATGCACATAATATTAAACTAAAATTAGTAAATTTTGGGTCTTTAACAGTGATAAGTTAGAAAATTAATAGCGTGGAATGTGGATGATGACTGACCTTGTTGGTGAAGAAAATTCTCTTCTCGGAGTTATCAGACTTGGGAGCAACCCATGAATTACAGGTGACCATAAGGACGCCATGGGCTAATCCATCAAAGACAATGTTCTTGAGGTACATCTCATTGTGGTGTTCATTCTCCACCAATACACCTCCAATCCCCCCAAAGCCTTTTGGAATCTCAAAATCACATTCGTACTTAACCTCATCCTTCTCTTGGCTGCTCCGATGAGCATAACCTTTAATTTTCTCCTTCTCTTTTCCCGTCTCTTTATCAACAAACATATAAATATTAGTATTTTTTTTATATAATAAAGAAATAACAATAATAGCTTGCCATGGCACAGATATTAACAGGAATTATTAAAAATACAAAAATTATCTCACTTTTTGCACAAACTTCTTGGCAACCAAGGTTAAAAAAATAAATATTAATTGATGAAAATATAAATGTAAATGGATAAAATAAATAAAACAAAAAGGTTATGAATAAATAAATATATATATGTGTGTGTGTATGTGTATGTATGATATTGTGAGTAATATGTAGCAGAAATTAAAAAAATAAAATATGGTGCATGTAACAAGTTGAAGGAAACAAGGTGATATAATTTCATATAGCGCATTATACATGTGTGTGCCTGAATTTGGAAGTTTTAGAGAAGGTAAAACTGTAAATTTTTTTCTTTTTTCTTACCAAGGTGAATAATTCTAAAACTTTAAATAATTTCCATTATCTTAGGAATTACTAGGAATTCACATTAATTGAACTCGTTTACAAACAAGACCTGCGAATTGTGTTTTCTTGGTCTTCCAATGCTCTCCATTCTTGTCTTAATGTTGGGTAGAAGGGAAGCAATGAAACGAAATATAAAACATGTGCGACTTACAGCCTAATAACTCTACACCCACGTATGCATCCGACGAAAAATATTAACAATAATTTTTTAAAAGGCGGGTAAAAATCGCAAAAATTGTCCGGAATAAGGGGAATGGGAATCAGAAAAAAATTTTAAATTTTATTTTTTTGAATTATACATAAATACAAAGGAAAAAGAAAAATATAACTAGAATTTTTGCAAACGTGAATTTGAAAACCGTTAACACATATATTATCAAATAAATATGAAGTAAAAGAACTTCTAAATTTTCAACTTGAAATTCAAATTCATGTATTTATGAACCAAGTCAACGGTTAGTAAGGTAATTGTTTACATTAAAATATAATATAAAATTTGTCCAAATATGTGACATACTATTTCACGTCAATTTCTAAAAGTAATATGATATGATATATAAGATATTAAAAATTACTATTGAACAACTTGAGTTTAAACATTTTAGGTTAGTGGTTCAGGTTTAACAAATTATTCAGCTTAGTAGCTCTTGGGTTGTTACAAATGGTATAAGAGTAAAACGATCTTTGGATTTCTGATTTGATGTAGACGTCAAGTCTTTAAATGAAGGAGATTCTGATATCGCGTCCCACGTCGATTTTTGAAAGTAATATGATATGATATATAAGAGACTAGAACTACTACTGTGTTTAAATATTTTGAACCAGTAGTTCAGACTCAATAAATTATTCAACATAGTAACTCTCAGTTGTTACAAAATAAAATTGTTAAGAAGCTAAGGTATATAGGGGTGGAAATAAACCTAATCAAATCATGTCACAGTAAGATTTTATTAGTTTGAACTTGACTTGTAACCTATGCTATACCCAAAAAAAAAAAAAAAAAGCCTTAGCCTAATTTGTTCATAAAACTTATCAAAACTAGACTTTACCTATATTTAACCTATAAAAATATATTATACATGACATATATTTAAAATACATATGTTATATATAATTAATGATATAAACTGGCATGTAGGTTCTTGAGCTAAAATAAATATAATCAGATTAAACTTATTTAAATAAAAATGTCGATTTGTTGTCTTGAGTTGGTTCGGGCTGTCAAACAGTATGACTCATTTATATCCTCAAAAGCAAGTTCGAAAATATGCCTTCGACGGGAATTATGGTTGGTTTGAGTTTGGCCACGTCTGATCCAATAACAAACTCCCGTTTCGAACTTTTTAAGAGTCAAGGCATTCGTGAAGGTCCAAGAAGGGGGCTTAGCCAAATTTTAAAAATAAAAATATAAAAGAAAATTTTAAAGGGTTAAAAAATAAAATGATAATTTATATATTTACAAATTTATATACTTATTTTTATCATTTTACATAAGTAAATAATAACAGTTATCTTATCTAAATCCCCTTTTTTTTCAAATAATAACAATCATCATTTTACATAATTAAATAATAACAGTTATCTTATCTAAATCCCCTTTTTTTTCAAATAATAACAATCATCGTACCTGAATTCACTTTGAATCAACCAAATATTTTAAGGCATATTTGTTTCGGGCCTTAGTCCGGCAACAAAACATCCCATCTCTACCCCCGGGGGGGGGGGGGGGTGTTTGATTAAATCTCCTGAAAAGTTTATATATATATATATATATATATATATAAAGAGTGTTAACTTATACCAAATCTCATCTATATATAAAGAGTGTTAACTTATACCAAATCTCATGTGTTAATTTTAATTAAATGAACAGTATAAAATTTGGTATAATTTTTTTTTACATTTACACTAGTGTCAATTAATCCCTTCTTATATATATATATGTATGTATTTTAATCAAAATTCTTCTGATTTCTAGAATTTTTGTTAATTAAATCACTGCATGCTATTTATTATCCGTTTTCACAAATGAGCACAATTAAATAATAAAACGTTTTTTTATCCAAACTCATATTTTTAAATTTACTTTTTTCAAATCTATTTTTTCAAATTTACTGTAATAAACCAAACATTATAAGTTGACTCACGAAATGGTTGTTTTAGTTTGGAGAAAATGCAAAGTAATTGATAGAAAATAGTAAAGTCAAGTTGGCTTTTTGCCAAGGCTATAGAGCTTTTTGGAAGACTTGAACTTTTTTAATAAAAGCAAACAAGAAACAGGACAAACTTTTTTATTCTATAATAAAAAATAAAAATCTAAAAAATTCATCAACCAATAAACAGAAAGTATAGGGAAAAAATAAAGAACAAAAATAATAGTTTCCAAGATTAGGCAAAATAATATAAATAAAAGAATCTAGGGAATAGCGGTGAAAAGATTAATATAAGCAGAAGCACAAGCTTCTTTTCTGTTCTCCTTATAAGAATACTTACTGGGATCAAGTTCTGCACTAACAAGCTCCAAGTGGATTGATTTTCCAACCAAATCTATTATGTCATCGACCCCGTGGCTCAATCCAAGGCTTGATAAGAAGCCGCCGGCCGTTAGTTTCACGCTAATAACGGCCTTCACGCTCAAAGACTGCTCCTCAGTGATTTCTATGGCTTTAGTGGTGTTAGAAACACATCGAATGCCGTTGTTCTTCTTTCGCTTTCCACCAAAGCTAGACGACGGCATTTGTGGAATTACTGAAGGTGTTCGGCCGGCGGATATGGGCAGCTTTTGCCGTGGGACTGAGGCTTGGGCAAGGTGAGACTGGTGGGTTTGAGAATTCATCTCTCTCTTTTCTCTCGTTCTTTTATATATTTGTTCTTGGTTGGTGGCGGAAGCGAAGGTTATCTGGATGAACAGTTCTGGCAGAAGGGTGTTTACTGGATATTGCCAAGCTTGATATGAAAGTAGACGATTGAACCTCTCCTTTTACAGAGAGAGAGAGAGAGAGAGAGAGAGAGAGAGAGAGAGAGAGTTCAAAACAAAAGGGCATTTGGTTCTTCCATTGAGGCAGGCGTTCCGCACGTGAAAAATAATCTTAAAGTCTCTGGAAAAAATGTTACTATTCAACTTTTATTTTTGTCCTAATAAGAAGATATTTATCAATTTGGAGAGAGAGAGAGAGAGAGAGTTCAAAATAAAAGGCCATTTGGTTCTTCCATTGAGGCGGGCGTTCCGCACGTGAAAAATAATCTTAAAGTCTCTGGAAAAAATGTTACTATCGAACTTTTATTTTTGTCCTATAAGAAGATATTTATCAATTTGGAACTTAGTGAAAAGTCCAACCGCGTCTAAATGCAATGGAATAGGCTTACATGAACCCCTACAAAATATCAAATTTGATATATATGCTTAATTTATTTATAAATATTTAATAAATGCTTTGGATGCTTAATTTTATTTTAATAATAATAATAATAATAACAATAATATTTTATCATTGAGAAGATGACGATGATTAATAGATGTGTGCAAAACTAAACCAATTAACTAAACCAAATCAAACTAAACCAAATTTTAAAATTTGGTTTGGTGTTTTTTAAATTTAGTTTAGTTTGGTTTGGTTTAGAAAAATAATCTAAAATTATGGTTTGGTTTGGTTTAAAACCAAACCAAACCATTTTAAACCAAAAACTAACATTTTGAAAATTCTTTATAAAAAATATTAATATATACACACACCAACATATATTTATATATATATATATTTATATATCTATATATACATATATATACTTATATGTGTATGTTTATACAGACACATAGACGTACATACATGCATACATACATACATATATATATAAATTATATTTACTCATACAAATATAAATATATATGTATATATATTTATATTGTATATAAATATATAGATACATATAGATATATATATATAAGAACATAAATATATATACATGTATATATATATATACATATATATATACTTATATGTGTATGTACTCACACAAACATACATACATATATGCATATAAATTTTTTATACCCATACAAATATAAATATTTGTACATGTACATATATTTATATTGTATATAAATATATAAATACACACATGTATATATACATACATAAATATATAAATATATGTATTTACATATTTATGCATATACGGTTCAGTTCATTCACGATCCGATTCGTTCGCGGTTATTCACGATTCGTATATGGTTTTGGTTTACGGTTCATTCACGATTTCGGTTCACGATTCATTTTCAGTTCTGGTTTCAGTTCAAAAAAATCTAAACTGTAACCAAACCGCGAACTTTCACGGTTTAGAACCAGATCGGACCAGATATTGTCGGTCTGGTTCGGTCTAATTTTTTCCCGGTCTAGACCGGAACTGTGAATAGGGCTACGTATACACATATACATATATATTTTTATATTAACATGAATAAATATATATATATATACACACACATGAATATATACATATATATTTTATGTATGTGTGTGTATATATATATATGTATATATGTATT